ATGATGTACAGGATGATATATATATATGACATTAATTACTATGATGTACAGGATGATATATATATATGACATTAATTACTATGATGTACAGGATGTCATGGGTACCGGTTCCCCTAACAAGTCAGCTGACTTTATGGATGTTGACCAGCAGGTGATTGCAGGGACACAACAGCGTGACAGCTCTTACCTACTCATGAAAAAATTCTCTAAAGAGGTACACGTCTTTACTTTGAAATAACTTTTAGCTATCATTTTATATTTTCTTTAACTTATTTGATTGTGATATCAAAGTTAATTTATTTCCAAGCTGATGAATCTTATTGAAGATATTTGATTGTTATAAACCTCTCCTGGATAAAAATGATTATTGTAGGAATTATTTTAATGAAACGTTTTCATAATATTCTCGTTAGGATGACCTATAGACTGTCAATATATCAGAGCCCTTTGTTCTTTCCTTTGTTTCTCTGTCATCTTTATGTATCTAAGACATTAAAACAGTCGATGAAAACAGTGGTCCAATGTATCTGTTTACACTGTAATATAAGTACTAGCAACCAGTGAAATGGAGGGCAGGAGTCTAATACTCTGTGTCTGTAATTGTTGTACTATGATATTCTACTGTGACAGGTTCTAGTGAGGATGAAGCAGTACTGTAATTGTTGTATTATGATATTCTACTGTGACAGGTTCTAGTGAGGATGAAGCAGTACTGTAATTGGTGTGCTCTGATATTCTACTGTGACAGGTTCTAGTGAGGATGAAGCAGTTCTGTAATTGGTGTACTCTGATATTCTACTGTGACAGGTTCTAGTGAGGATGAAGCAGTACTGTAATTGGTGTACTCTGATATACTACTGTGACAGGTTCTAGTGAGGATGAAGCAGTACAAGGATGACCTTCTTGCTTCATGTCTGACCTTCATCCTGGCCCTTCCCAAGGAGATCGTTGCACAGCAGATGGTGGAGGTGGTACCAGTCATACAGGTAAGTAAATAGGTAGTGGAGGTTGTACCAGTCATACAGGTAAGTAAGTAGGTAGCGGAGGTGGTACCAGTCATACAGGTAAGTAAATAGGTAGTGGAGGTTGTACCAGTCATACAGGTAAGTAAGTAGGTAGCGGAGGTGGTACCAGTCATACAGGTAAGTAAATAGGTAGTGGAGGTTGTACCAGTCATACAGGTAAGTAAGTAGGTAGTGGTGGTGGTACCAGTCATACAGGTAAGTAAGCAGGTAGTGGTGGCGGTGGTACCAGTCATTCAGGTAAGTAAGTAGGTAGTGGAGGTGGTACTTCTAGTGAGGATGAAGCAGTACTGTAATTGTTGTACTATGCTATTCTACTGTGACAGCTGGTTCTAGTGAGGATGAAGCAGTACTGTAATTGTTGTACTATGCTATTCTACTGTGACAGGTTCTAGTGAGGATTAAGCAGTACAAGGATGACCTTCTTGCTTCATGTCTGACCTTCATCCTGGCCCTTCCCAAGGAGATCGTTGCACAGCAGATGGTGGAGGTGGTACCAGTCATACAGGTAAGTAAATAGGTAGTGGCGGTTGTACCAGTCATACAGGTAAGTAAGTAGGTAGTGGTGGTGGTGGTACCAGTCATTCAGGTAAGTAAGTAGGTAGTGGAGGTGGTACTTCTAGTGAGGATGAAGCAGTACTGTAATTGGTGTACTCTGATATACTACTGTGACAGGTTCTAGTGAGGATGAAGCAGTACAAGGATGACCTTCTTGCTTCATGTCTGACCTTCATCCTGGCCCTTCCCAATGAGATCATTGCACAGCAGATGGTGGAGGTGGTACCAGTCATACAGGTAAGTACGTAGGTAGTGGAGGTGGTACCAGTCATACAGGTAAGTAAATAGGTAGTGGCGGTTGTACCAGTCATACAGGTAAGTAAGTAGGTAGTGGAGGTGGTACTTCTAGTGAGGATGAAGCAGTACTGTAATTGTTGTACTATGCTATTCTACTGTGACAGGTTCTAGTGAGGATGAAGCAGTACAAGGATGACCTTCTTGCTTCATGTCTGACCTTCATCCTGGCCCTTCCCAAGGAGATCATTGCACAGCAGATGGTGGAGGTGGTACCAGTCATACAGGTAAGTAAGTAGGTAGTGGTGGTGGTACCAGTCATACAGGTAAGTAAGTAGGTAGTGGTGGTGGTGGTACCAGTCATTCAGGTAAGTAAGTAGGTAGTGGAGGTGGTACCAGTCATACAGGTAAATAGGTGGAGGGGGGTTATACCAGGCATACAGGTAAGTAAGTAGGTAGTGGAGGTGGTACCAGTTATACAGGTAAGTAAGTTGGTAGTGGTGGTGGTACCAGTCATACAGGCAAGTAAGTAGGTAGTGGGGGTGGTACCAGTCATACAGGTAAGTAAGTAGGTAGTGGAGGTGGTCCCAGTCATACAGGTAAGTAAGTAGGTAGCGGAGGTGGGACCAGTCATACAGGTAAGTAAGTAGGTGGGGGTGGTACCAGGCATACAGGTGAGTAAGTAGGTAGTGGAGGTGGTACAAGTCATACAGGTAAGTAAGTAGGTAGCGGAGGTGGGACCAGTCATACAGGTAAGTAAGTAGGAAGTGGTGGTGATACCAGTCATACAGGTAAGTAAGTAGGAAGTGGAGGTGGTACCAGTCATACAGGAAAGAAAGTAGGTAGGGGGGGTGGTCCCACTCATACAGGTAAGTAAGTAGGTAATGGAGGGGGTACCAGTCATACAGGTAAGTAAGTAGGTAGTGGAGGTGGTACCACTCATACAGGTAAGTAAGTAGGTAATGGAGGTGGTACCAGTCATACAGGTAAGTAAGTAAGTAGTGGAGGTTGTACCAGTCATACAGGTAAGTAAGTAGGTAGTGGAGGTGGTACCAGTCATTCAGGTAAGTAAGTAGGTGGGGGTGGTACCAGTCATACAGGTAAGTAAGTAGGTAGTGGAGGTGGTACCAGTCATACAGGTAAGTAAGTAGGTGGTGGGGGTGGTACCAGGTAAACAGTGGAGCAGTCAAACAATTGATTATTGCTGACATCATATGACCATAGCCAACATAACCTTGAACTGAAGTGTACCTTATAATTTACTTCAATAATGGTTCTGCGCATCATTTTGAATTTTGCATCATTTTCATATTTCTTTGTAGATAACACTGAAGATGGGTCTTAGTTATCTGCCCTTGGCCAAGGTGGCACTGGATGCTCTAGAGTATTGGTCAGACACATTGCCCGCCTCTGTCATACAGCCTCACTACTCCCAAATACTGCCTTATCTCGACACCTACCTCAAAACAGCAGACAAAGGTAAACCTGACGATCAGTCGTACAGTAAAACTAATACCAGATACAGCTACTGTCTTGACACTTACCTCATAATAACAGATGAACAAGGGAATCCTGTCCCTTGGTATGTCACACGACTTACAGGGGAGTCCTCTCTGTAGATAGGGAATCCTGTCCCTTGGTATGTCACACGACTTACAGGGGAGTCCTCTCTGTAGATAGGGAATCCTGTCAATACATTTGGTACAACATGACCTAAAGAGTTAAAAGTGAAATCCATAATCACATTGATAGGTTTGGTTCAATATGTCATGCATTTGACTAACAGGGGCAGAGGAAGTGTCGGTGGATGGTACAGTAAACATGACCAAGAGCAAGACAGGACGGGGCAGGAGGAAGTTAGCCGTCCGGATGGTCAGAGGTCCCAAAAAGGATCAGCTAAAAAAGGTGAAAATGAACACTGTTTACCATGGGTTACTACTTTCTCCAGGAATTGAGGCAGGGGGGTCGTAATTGTATACTAGAATTTTGAATTTTGATAAATCTTTATTTGATTTCTAGGTGTAAAATTCAAGTGACATATATCATAAAGTCCTATTAGTAGAAACCTTTGAATACTAGTTGTATTTTATTCCCTATGATAAAAATGTCTAATAGACTTATAATGTTTTATCTTGCCCTGCTAGGGTTACGAGTCAGAGCTGTCCCAAGTGAAGCTACGTGTGATGCGGTACCTAGGGGGCCTAGGGGGCAGTCAGAACCATGCCATGCTGGCGGACAATGAGGCAGAGGTCAGCAGGCAGGCCATTGCATGGGACACACATCGCCACCTTAAGTTTGACATGCCCTTCATCGACATGAAACCCACCATCTATTTGGGTAAGTTGATGCTTCTGAGTTGTTTTTGTTTGTAAAGGGACTTTTGGTTTGGCTAATAAGACATGAATAAATTGACACTGGCAATATCAGATTATGAAATTGCAGCTTGTATTTTAGCACGTTTAAAAGTGTTTATTTTAAACACTACAAAACCTTTCACTTTTAGTGTCTCTTTAATATCTTAGATACAGATTAAATAAAATCAATATTTCCTTTGTTAACTATTACAACATTACAGCCTATTTGATCCGTTAGTAACACCTTATCTTAATCTGAGGGGCATTATCTGTTGTGTACAGATGAAGACTGTTTTTGTTTCCTTGACAATAGATCCGTTCCTGCCGCACGTTGTTATGTTAGCCACCAAGTCGAGTGACCGCCAGACGAAGGTGGCTGCGTGTGAGCTACTTCACTCTCTGGTACTGTTCTCTTTGGGGCGGGGAGCCACTCAGCCCGGGGAGGCGGCCAAGCGATGCTCCATGGCCCCTTTGTACAAAAAGCTGTTTCCCGTGCTCCTACAACTGGCCTGTGATGTAGAACTGGTAAACATACAGGCATACTCTTTTACAGAATACTTTTAATATGTCTGTCAAGATAGAACATATGGTATAGAATTGTAAGTCCGTCTGTTCACTCTTGTCCCCTTAATTTCCTCATGATTCCCATTAAACTTGCCAGTCAGTCTAAACATGATGAATAAGTCAATACGGACAAAAGCAATGTGAACATGATCACATTTTGATGGAGAAATATAAAATTTGTAACATTCTTTGGAATGAAATTCTTCCAGGTTTCTGAGGCCTGGAGAATGTGGGTGAAGTAAATTGGCATGTTGATACTAGGTTTCTCTGGGGAAGATGGGTGATGATCTAGATGTGGCTTAACCATTCAGAACAATAAATATTCATTTATCAATTTTCGGTCATTTTATGAAAATCTCTTAACAGTTTCATCATACCCACACCACATATATAGAGAGGGCACTAGTAGTGTTTTCCATTCTGTCAGTCTGGATGTCCATCTGTATGATTGGTTAGATTTTGGTTTTAGCTCCATTTCTTTGATACTACATTTCCCATAGGCTATTAAACTGTATATGCCAATACACCTTCAGGAGTCCCACACTATCATGTGACATGTAGGTCACTGTGACCTATATTTTCTACTTCACTGACTTTTAATAGACTCCATATTTTTACATCTCTGATATTGCTCGTTTAATAGATGTTAAACAATCATTAATTTTTATTCAAAGATACATCTTGAGGAGTACTACACCTTTATATCAAATAGAGGTCACAGTGACCTATATTTTTCATTTCAACAACTTTGGTAAGACTATGCATTTAGCTCCATTTTTTTCAGACTTTTACAAGTTCCATTTCTATGAAAGAAGGAGCAAGCTAGGGCATATGTGTAGTAAGCAATTTCCAGTTTTAACTACTTGTAACAATGGTTCGGTCAGTAAGATAGTGTTGGGGAAAAGTCTGACACTGTAGATGAATGGTGTCTCTCAAAAATGTCCCAACGAAAAACATTAAATGATGCATTAATTTTGAAGTTAAAGTTGGATTTTTGCAGTACACCTTTTGATATGCTATAAAATGATTTGTTATAATTTCTATCTATAGGTTGCTAAGCAACTGTTTGAGCCTTTGACAATGCAGATCATCCATTGGTTCACGGGAAGCAAGAAGGCCGAGAGCGTGGAAACGATGTCCCTACTGGACGCCATCTTTGTAGGTTATTGATATTGTCTGTCGTTACACAAGTATCTAATGAGTTAAACATGACAAGATATACATTAATTAGGCTGAGATAACTTTGAAATTTACGGTGGTTGTGATCAGATGTAACGTTAAAGTTCCAAAAACTAAGCAAGGGGTTCTACTGTATTACTAAAAAATTGAAAGGATTGAAGTAGTTAACGTTGGTAGAGTATGGAAACCCCTCCCCCAATTCATATCTCATGTAATTTCTTGCCCATCTTTCCTTTATAATTGTATGATTTATGCTGGAAATCTATTGTTTCAGGATACAAACATAATGAATTTGATCCTGAAATATTTATTGTTATGAATTCAACTTGATTTTTTAAAAGATTTAAAAAAAAAAGGTAATGAAAGATACTGTACTAGGAAAAATGAAACATTTAATAGTTTTCATATATAGAGTATAAATCATTTATCAAAGACTTCATATTAAACCAATGGTATCATAGAACAGCAGATTGTTCAATCCCCTGTACTCTTACCTAAGGGTGATTATATATAGTGTGTATTATAACTGTTTTTCCAGGATGGTATCATTTGGGGAACATTTAAAGGGTGATTATACAGAGTGTATATTTTCCAGGATGGTATCACTTAGGGTACATTTTATGGGTGATTATACAGAGTGTGTATTTTCCAGGATGGTATCATTCAGCCAACAGATACCAGCCTAAGAGATTTCTGTGCTACTTGCCTTCGAGAATTTATGAAGTGGTCCGTCAAGCACACATCCAAAAAAGTAAGGATTGTTCATGTTTAAGGGCTGTTGTATTTTATCTTTTGTATATTCTTTAGATAAGAGTTTTTTAGTTGACTGATAAAGCAAAATAATATCTGAAAGCAGAAAAGTGATATATTTTGTACATACATCTGTAGTATAGTAAATATGACAATGTTTTGGTTTTAGATGGAGACAAGCCCTATCAACGCCAAGTCAGTGTTAAAGAGACTCTTTACTTATGCTCTACATCCCAGTGCATTCAAGAGACTTGGTGCAGCTCTAGCATTCAACAATATATACACTGTGTTCAGGTACTAACATTCAACAATGTATACATTGTGTTCAGGTACTAACATTCAACAATATCTCTAAAAAATGACCTCAACCCTGAAGGTCACAGGTCAAATAAATATAACAACCAAAAGGGCTTAAGTCATGATATTTGACTAGTACACACAAAGGATAGATTCAAACAAAGTTTGTGAAAACAAATGACCTTAACCTTGAAGGTTACAGGGGTTAAATATGTCAAAAACTTTTAACTTTACCTTGAAGGTCACAGGGTCAAATATGTCTAAAACTTCAAACAACTTTTCATGAAGAAATTTCAGGCTTAGAATCATGATATTTTGCTTGTAGCTTCCTTTGATGGAGACAAACAAAAAATTTGAACGAACATTACCTTCCTACTTTCAAGGTTACATGGGGTCAGATATGTCCAAAACTTTTAAATTTCATCTAAAGAACTGAAAGGTCACCGTCATGATATTTAGCTTCTTGGGATTGAGCCTGACAAATTTAGTGAAATTAGATGGAACGTTAAGGGCTAGAGACATGATGTTTGACTGGTAGCTTTTCTTGGATGGAGTATTTATCAACTTGTGTTTGTGTATGCCTTTTACTTGAATAGATATCATTGTCGTTATGAGTCTAAATGTATTCTGTAAGTAGTGTTTTTGGTGTGGATTGATCCTCTCGTTCAGTGCTCGTTTAATATTTTTGTTACACAGGGAAGACAATACTTTGGTGGATACTTTCACCTTCCAGACCCTCGTTCACTTTGTTGAGAGTCTGGCCATAGCACATAAGGACGAAAAATCATTAGGTAACTATGTACAATTAACATGTAAGATGAAAATGGTATCTGGAATATATTGATTATAGCAAAGGGGGTACATTTTGTATTAGTATGCCTATCACTTACAGTTCTAATTTCCTCCAGGGATCAATCTAAGTGTCTCCTCTGGAATCACTTTTTCCTCTGTGATCTATCTTGCTCCCTCCCTTTCCATTACCAGGCACACAAGAACAAGCTTGTAAGGCCCTGGAACACTTAGAAAAGATCATTTGTAAAAAGGCAGACATCTTACGGAAAGAAAGTAAACTGCGGACAGAGCCCAGGTAGGAAGAGTACTACAATTACCTTTAATACCTTCAGCCAAGCTAACAAAAATACTAGACCTGTTAACCTTTGAAACAGAAATGGTGGCTACTTTGTGTCAAAATTATTAGTACACAATGACACCTATTTCTGAAATGAACCGTAGTTGTAACTGAAGATTGTAAAACCCAGCTAAGAGTAAGAGAAGTTGAAGGATGACAAAGTAGGGAACTTGTATTAAGATGTTTATTAGTTTACAGATACAGGATCTGTATGATCCTCTACACCAGACTACACCGAAATACATAACAGAAAATACATACATGTACACAGGTATATGAAAGTTTGGTTATGTACATCACATGTTTAACTCTGTTAGCTCCGTAATTATGAATTTATGTTTTTAAATGTGTTGTAATGATGATGTGACAAACTTTTATAAGGATATTGACAATGTAGGGAACTTGTGTTGGATGTTTGTGATTGAAGTTTTAATGGAATGTTAATGATGTTTCAGTCAGTGGAGTAAGATCACTATAGATATCTGTGTACGATGGTTTATGCGTCAGTGTGGCCGACCTCAGACAGAGTGCCGACACATGTGTATGAAACTCCTACACAAGATGACTCCACTCATACAAGGTACAGTCCCGTGGTGGTCTTCAATTTATATTTAGTTATATTTTGACAATCATATAACTTGAGTACAGCACTAAGTCATGTTTGAATCTCATGTTATCCTTAGTTACCAAAAAATGTGTTACATGTATATCTGACAATGTGTTGAGAAGAACTGAGATTAATTTGAAAATATGAAACTGTAGCGTGTTTTTATTATGAATATATAAAGTTTCTTTCATTAATGAAAAAGTATGACTGAGCAAAGAAAACCCTATGTCTGAAAAAAACCTTTCCTGGGGGAATTGACCCTGGGGCTCCCAGAATTATATATATGATGATCTCCTAACAGTTTTAGGGGATGAAATAATTAAAAACTAAAAATATTATGTTGTGGAGAAGTATAAAAAGATAACGATTTCCATCGTTAATGATGCATGTTTTGTATGTTAAGGTATCAAGTCAACACAGATGTATTTCCAGGCATTTTTGAAGAGTGAGAAACAGAAATACTTCATCACAAGGTATAACCTTAACACTAGTGGAACCTGGTCACTTCTATGTGGCTCAGTATAGGTATATACTTAAATAGTAATGGGAAAATAGAAATGTACCGCTTGAAATTACAATGTTTATACAGTATTATATGATATCATGTTTAAGCTTAAAATAATGATGATATTTTTACATATACATATGTATGTTGTGCTAAAAAAAATGTACAAATGTAATAAACGATATTGTACAACAATTACAATGCTTTAGTGGCTAATTTTTTTTGATAGATTTTCATTTTTCATAAAATTTTAATTTATATTGAATAGTAACCTAATGGCATCATCAGTCAACGGTAAAAGTCATTGTTACTAAAAATATAATTTTATTCTGTCACAGCACAGTGGGGGGGTTTCGCGAACCACACCTTTATGTCTGTTTTATCACTAGGTTTGTTGGGGGTGGGGCTTGTTAGGGGAGGGGGGGGGATGTTGCGAGAACCACCCCTTTATTTCTGTTTAATCACTAGGTTTGAAGGAGGAGGTCACACCAGCAACACTAAGGTGGGGTTAGTGGCGTGCCCTACCCTGATGTCTGTCAGTGATACCTTCTCTCTATCCTCCACACTGACTTGGTTCGATACACTCCTGGCTGCCCTCGACTGTTACACCACAGTGTTTGGGGAAAACTTGCTCACACCTGTGGATGTGTTTGGAGGTAAGGACTTTAACCCTTAAGAAGTTTGCTTAGTTTGTATCATTTTATTAGCTCACCTGCCTGAAGGCCAAGTGAGCTTATGTCATGGTGCGGCATCCGTCGTCCGTCAACTTTTCCTTTAAATAACTTCTTCTGAAGAACGAACAGGCCTAGAGTCATGATATTTGGCTGAAAACTTTGTTGGTAGGAGCTTGGCAAAGTTGAATGAAAATGACCTTCTTCTGAAAAACTGAAAGGTATAGAATCTTCATATTTGGCTGGTAGCTTCTTGGGTAAGAGCAAGAAAAAGTTTTGAGAATGAAAATGACCTTGACCTACTTTCAAGGTCTCAAGGGTCAAATGCGTCAAACACTTCAAATGACTTCTTCTGAAGAACTGAAATTTATAGAATCTTCATATTTGGTTGGTGTTTTCCTGGGATAGAGCTCGACAAACTGTAAAAAAAGAAAATGACCTTGACCTACTTACAAGGTAACAGGGGTCAAATATGTCAAACAATTAAATGACTTGGGATGGCGCCTGGCAAAGTTTAAAAACGAAAATAACCTATATCTCCTTATAAGGTCACAGGGGTCAAATATGTCAAACATTTAATAATATTTGGCTGGTAGTTTCAACAGATAGAGCCGACAAAGTTTGTAAGTGAAATATTTGTAGTACAGGATAATATTTAATGAGAATATTTTGCAATGACTGCTCAAATATTCAGGTGAGCGATACAGGCCCTCCGGGCCTCTTGTTTCAATTTTCATTACAGTGAACAACATTCATATCAATAACAGTAGGGATTCGGAACCAAGAGTATTTTTTTAATAAATCCATTTTCTAAAGGATTCTTATCCGACCCCACCAACCTCCCCCCTCTGTATCATTTTATCGGGAGAGGACACATTAGTGTTACCCATTTCTGTTGTGTTTTGTCCTCGTCTTCTCCAATCCTGATTCAGTGTCATTAAGCAACTGAATCTCTTTATGCATTTGGTCTAACTTTATACAAACGTCAAGTGTGAGAATTCCTTGAAAGATGTCAAGTGTGAGAATTCCTTGAAAGATGTCAAGTGTGAGAATTCCTTGAAAGATGTCAAGTGTGAGAATTCCTTGAAAGATGTCAAGTGTGAGAATTCCTTGAAAGATGTCAAGTGTGAGAATTCCTTGAAAGATGTCAAGTGTGAGAATTCCTTGAAAGATGTCAAGTGTGAGAATTCCTTGAAAGATGTCAAGTGTGAGAATTCCTTGAAAGATGTCAAGTGTGAGAATTCCTTGAAAGATGTCAAGTGTGAGAATTCCTTGAAAGATGTCAAGTGTGAGAATTCCTTGAAAGATGTCAAGTGTGAGAATTCCTTGAAAGATGTCAAGTGTGAGAATTCCTTGAAAGATTTGGTATTTCAGGTATTTATGGTCAAGGCCAAGGTCACCATTACTATTTATAGGAATTGGTCAAACTGACATTTATTTGCATGAAAACTAGGGTATTTATGTCTTAAAGACATTTTCTAGTTTATCTATTCAACTACAGTGTTAACAGAAATGTTGTATATATGTATATATATGTAATATAATGCTGTGTTGTCTACCAACAGGTGTTGGCATGAACCAGACCAATGTATTTAAGGCAGCAACCTACTTTGTGGACAACATAGCCTTGGCCGACATTGAGACTGTTGCCAATCTGTTCCCTAACCAGCCAGAGACAACCTTCTTCACTCCTCGGGAGATAGATGAATTCAATAGGTGAATTTCTTTCATAAATAGGTTGGACACATGAAAGCTTGATTTGAATCAATTACATAAAATTAAACTTTATGCTCACACATATCAGCTATTTAGGCATTTATGTATTTTAGTAACATTGTTTCTATAATCTGAATTAAAGTTTACTATACGTATCAATAGCAGTATCAAACATGTGGATTGCTTTTATAGCCTGGTAATTTGTATGTATTGACATATTGATGAACATGTAGATTCAAAGATCTTTCTAAAATAAGGATTAAAATATTTGTTTCAAGACTTCAGTTATTTATGTGTTTATAGGGAAAAGTGTACAGTTGTAGTCCGGCTTCTGAACTTCCTGTCTGTGGTGGTTGCAACATCTGGAGCGAAGGACCTGAATAAGGTGATGTGAGGTTAAATTAGGATGTTAAGCAGGGAAAAAGAGACCAGGATCTGAAGTGAATGTGATACAAATAGTTTTAAATCGAGTGAACATCATGAAAAATCTTAGAGCAAATATTGTTTTGAATGAATCCATCAGTTTGATGACGAAATCACTAACATGCATCATACACTCTAATTACAAATCTGTGACACAAAATGATAGTGATTTAATCATCATTGGTGACAGGCAGTACATCCAGAGATTTGGAGTGGTGCACTCTGGGAAATGGTGTGTATGTGTGTGGTGGAGCCTGGCTCTGTTGGCTTCAATCTCGGTGAGGTAGAAGTGATGAAAAATCTACCAAGGGAGGTAAGTCAGCTCAACATTAATTTCATATATAAATATCATAGGGAGACTGTAGACCCAAGATATGTTTCATTTCTAAGATCCTTGGAATTGAAATTATAGATTTGCACAATTACTACAATCTTGTCCAGGTCATAAGTTTGATCAACTGAGGATAGTTCCATATCATAACATCTCTTATAATTATATCTTGTATACCAATTAAATAACCTTTATGTCAAGGTCAGGAGAGTTGATGATTGAGTTGAGATTGATGTAACACTCTATGGTCACTGTTACAGATGGAACAGGTGATGATGGTGATGTCAAAAAAGCTGCCAACCAAATTATTTGACAACATGAAGCATCAGTTTACTAAGACCCTGTCTGGGAGGAGGTTTGTATGCAGCCTTACAGTCAAGGTTAATTACAAGTGTTTAGTATTTAGAATGAGACGAAAACTGCCTATCGGCTTTATTGTCATATTCTTGTAATAAACATAAAGAGGCGAGAACAAATTGTAACCATATTTACTTTTTAGTGGCAAAAATTAAAGAGGGAGACGAGCCAATTGTGGTCCATTTTTGATATGGTCCTTAAGTAAAAGTGTTCTCAATGGATCATGGAGACCAACCTATAGACAGGGTGTCCTATAGACAGGGTGTGTCCTATAGACAGGGTGTCCTATAGACAGGGTGTCCTATAGACAGGGTGTCCACACAGGGGTTAAGACAGAACAAAAACCTGTGTAGGTGTGTAGCTTCACACGGTAGAAACAGGGAAGACTTTTATTACTTTTAAGGCCATAACTTGTGAAACTGGTGATATTGTGATTTAAAGTAGATATTTGTACTGTACTAAATTTGTAGGTTTGGAGGTTGTTAAATTATTGTGTCGGAAGAGTTGTCAATTACTACAAAGTATTTGAAGTTGACAAAAAGACTGCCCTGTTCAGTAAAGGAATGGTCATATTATATGTCAGTTAAGGAAAATGATAAAAGATAGATATCTAATTGATTGTCACCCTACGTTAATAATTACATTTCTAAGAATGTTTCAGTGTCTGCCTGCCTATTCAACTCCTAATAATATTTTGGTACCTCCCTAATCTTTTCCACTCCTAAGAATGTTTTACGACTTCAGTGGAGAAAAATAATACTATGTGTGGCTTATACAGATGTAAATGCTGTAATATTTAATTCCTTTTCCTGTACACAGGGATCTATCTGGCTACCTACCATTGACCTTGAGTGACCTGAAACTGGACTCTATCTACCTACAACAGTTACTGGGAGGATACCACCAGCTCCACACCGCTGGCCTGATGACAAGTGTCCACTTAGGGTCAGGGAAAGCCAGTGACTTGGCACAGAAACTATTTGACAATGTTTTCCAGGTACACTTACTTTATTTGAAGCTTGTGCATAGTGATATGATATAATGTTTTGGTGAGCCGGAAAGACTTTCAAGACCTGCATATATTTATTATCTCCCCTGGTCCAAAGGACCAACGTGAGCATATGCTGTACCATGGCCTCTGTTGTCCATATGTAAGCAATTTTTTCACAGGACTTCTTCTAAAGCGCTGATTAGAAATTAGCTAAACTTGACTAGAAGTTTCACTAGATTCTGGGGATTCAAAATTGTACAAAAGGTGGTGCGAACCCCCCCCCCCATCCACACACACAGGGTCTACATGGATGTCAATGGATGTCAATCATATTAGATTGGAAACATTCTTATGGTGTTGGTGTGGGGATACCAAATTGTACAAATGGATTTAATTTAAATTTATCTTAAACATTGCATTTGTACAAATTTTAAGTTATTACATTTTAGCTTTCATTGATTTATGATTTTTCATGCAATTTTAAAAATCATTGTATTAACTCATCAATGTGTTTCGATCAGTCGCCATGTTTGTCAGTGTGGAGATGTATAGATGTTGTGATTAGCTTTGCTTGTGTTTTCCCCAGGGTGTGGTGTGTAGGAATGGTGGGGGTCTGGAGGCCATAACACTAACACCAGTGGTTCACACTCTGATGAAGGACATGCTGGCTCTCAGTTTCCACCTGGGATTACAGGTAAGTTTTAACATTATATTGTCACAGTTATCGTTGTACTATATTTTCAATTATTTTTCTGACAGGTCTATTTATTTATTAGTAGTACATAAAATACGGGCTATTCGAAGAAGATATCCCTAAACCTAAGTTTAGCTTAATGGTTATACTAAGATGAGCCCCCTCTGTCTAATAAGTAAAGATTATACTAAGATGAGCCCCCTCTGTATAATCAGGAAGAGTTATACTAAGATGAGCCCCCTCTATATAATCAGTAAGGGTTATACTAAGATGAGCCCCCTCTGTCTAATAAGTAAAGATTATACTAAGATGAGCCCCCTATGTGTAATCAGTAAGGGTCATAATAAGATGAGCCCCCTCTGTCTAATCAGTAAGAGTTATATTAAGATGAGCCCCCTCTATATAATCAGTAAGGGTTATACTAAGATGAGCCCCCTCTGTATAATCAGTAAGGGTTATACTAAGTTGAGCCCCCTATGTGTAATCAGTAAGGGTTATATTAAGATGAGCCCCCTCTGTCTAATCAGCAAGAGTTATATTAAGATGAGCCCCCTCTATATAATCAGTAAGGGTTACACTAAGATGAGCCCCCTATGTGTAATCAATAAGGCTTATACTAAGATGAGCCCCCACTGTCTAAAAGGTAAAGGTTATACTAAGATGAGCCCCCTATGTGTAATCAGTAAGAGTTATACTAAGATGAGCCCCCTCTGTCTAATCAGTAAGAGTTATATTAAGATGAGCCCCCTCTGTATAATCAGTAAGGGTTATACTAAGTTGAGCCCCCTCTGTATAATCAGTAAGGTTTATACTAGATGAGCCCCCTCTGTATAATCAGTAAGGTTTATACTAGATGAGCCCCCTCTGTATAATCAGTAAGGGTTATACTGAAATAAGCCCGCTCTGTCTAATCAGTAAGGGTTATACTAAGATGAGCCCCTATGTGTAATCAGTAAGGGTTATACTAAGATGAGCACCCTCTGTCTAATCAGTAAGGGTTACACTAAGATGAGCCCCCTCTATATAATCAGTAAGGTTTATACTAGNCCCCCCCCCCCCCCCCCAATCCAGCCAACTCCATCCTCCTCCATCTAATGAGTTGCCAGGTGTTAACCAACATTTACTAGTACGCTAATGTTCAGACACTGTTGAGGCATTTTAGATCTCATCACATGACAAAATGTTTTGTTTTGTTTTTATCTTAGGGAAGTGTCCTTGTGGAGGCCATACTTGACCAAACTTTGGTGAGTGGATCTAGTAAGGGGTTGGAGCAGTGCCATGGCGACCTGGTCTTCTCCATGTTTAAGTCTGTGATAGCAGGTCACATGGCAGTAGAATCAGATATGTGTGTCAAGTCATTGGCAACTCGGGCAGGAGCAGATGGTAGGAAGGTGAGCAGGATCCTTGTTGCCATGGTGGACCACGTCACTAGGGACAAAGCACTGAGGAAACGGTGAGTCACTCCCCCTACCCCTTCCAAAAGAATTGTTTTATTATGAATACCTGTACCATGCAATGCCAAAGACTATAAAAGTTATTATTCATTAGAAATATTATTTCCAGCATGACTAGCTCTGATAAAGATTTTCTGTAAAGAAAACGATAGCTTGTAGAACTGAAGTGAAAATATCCCATAATATTTACATTTCCACTGCACAGAGCCTAGATGTTTCTACCAGGCCCAATGTATGTTATTTCCGTATAACATACATTGGGCCATTGTGACGTCGCTACGCTTATGACGTCATAACTGTAACGTTGGAGATTGCGCGGCTCCACTGTCAACTGGTGGCTGTTCTCTGTATGGATTTACCCTGATGTTGAAACATGTTCAGACTAATATTATGTCTTTATTCCTGTGTGAACTGTAAGTTGATTAACATAAAATGTAAATATAAGTATTGGTTGTCATATTTTTGACATGCATTGGTGTGTAATAGAGCGCACCATGTTAAATATGTAGGTAAGCCAATGTATGTTACTCACCAATGCATGTCAAAAATATGACAACCAATCCTTAAATAAAGGGGAAATTATCATAAATTGATTACAGTGTTTTTAGTGTGAAAATGCAATGGTGCCAGATCAGGATTTGAACCCGAAGCCCTGACCAATATACTGTCACTCTAATAGACTGAGCTATTCTGTGGGATTGAATATTGAACAGGCTATATAATTATGTATATGATGGAGTATTGAATATTGAACAGGCTATATATTTATATATATGATGAAGTATTGAATATTGAACAGGCTATATAATTATGTATATGATGGAGTATTGAATATTGAACAGGCTATATAATTATATATATGATGGAGTATTGAATATTGAACAGGCTATATAATTTCGTATATGATGGAGTATTGAATATCGAACATGCTATATAATTATGTATATGATGGAGGATTGAATATTGAACAGGCTATATAATTATATATATGATGGAGTATTGAATATTGAACAGGCTATATGATTATGTATATGATGGAGTATTGAATATTGAACAGGCTATATAATTTCGTATATGATGGAGTATTGAATATTGAACATGCTATATAATTATGTATATGATGGAGTATTGAATATTGAACAGGCTATATAATTATGTATATGATGAAGTATTGAATACTGAACAGGCTATATAATTATGTATATGATGGAGCATTGAATATTGAACAGGCTATATAATTATGTATATGATGGAGTATTGAATATTGAACAGGCTATATAATTACATATATGATGGAGTATTGAGTTAGATTGTTTATTTGATGTATTTTCAGTACCGGTATATACTGCCATTAATTTTCAGGATAGGACAGAACATAGTAAAGAGTGTACTGATGCAGTGGAAGACGATAGCTGGCTGGTGTGACAGCAAGTCCTCAATTGACCTTCAGAGTATGACCTTGCTGTTACTGACAAAGCTCCTTCTGATTGACAGTAAGGTATGAAACTAGACAATAAGATATTGTCCTTTAACTGAGCTGGTGTCATATAATGAAAATAAAAATACAGTCATAGACAACAAGATTTGTCAAGTAGCATGCTGTGATGAAAGGCAATAAAATGTATTCAAATTAATGACCTTGACCCACTTTCTAGGTCACAAGCGCCAAATGTGTTGAACTATTTAAACAGCTTCTATTGAATAATCCAGAGTATTATGGTTATAGTATTTCGGTCAGTGGTCAAATGTTTTAAAACCTTTTAATTCCTGAATAACCAAGAGACATACAGTCAAGATATTTAGCATGTTTCTTACTTAAGTAGAGGGCTGTCAAGTTTGTTTAAATTAATTTTATTTTGGCCTACTTAGGTCTTAAGTTCACATAACTGAATTCCATGTGAGTAATACAGGCCCATTGGGCTTGTTGCTTTGAGATAGAATTGAGAAGAAGAAAAAAATCTCCTCACATGTATTAAAATAATCTTGACCCTGCATATGCCATGTTTCAGTTTGTGTCCACTCCGTCCTCGCCATCATTTGAGGATGTGTTTGGTACGTACCTCCAATGCCTGACAGATACCAGGACCAATCTCGCATTCAAGGTAGGTCCTCTGCACTGGGAACTGACACCTGTGGATCCTAACACATTGGGCTGATACTTCATAACATTCTCTGAAACAAAAACTTATTTTCCTTCTTATTCTTCCCCTTTCAGTAAAATAGGGGAGACTAGAGGCCTGTCATTCTATCCCATTTTAGGGCTATAACCTCTGAACAGATGCATGAAACTTCATAATATAGATATATCACAACTCGAAAATATGTGGCTTACTTCTTGAAGGTTGTACCATCAAGTTTGAATTTTGGGTCACAGCATAAGATCAGATCATTGTTAACTCACCTAATCCAAAGTTCCGATGAGCTTATACTGTGGTGCAATGTCAGGCCTCAGTCCAACCATCAACTTTATCTTTAAAAACACTGTTATGTCCAAACAGCTCAGTAGATTTTGACTAAATCTGGTCTGGAGCATTGTTAGGTAAAGGGATTCATTTTGGTATAAATGGAGGATGTACCCGTCTAGAGCATCCTTAGGCAAGAGAATCAATGTTATATAACAGAGGATATCTGATCTGAACCTCTGATATGTTCCCAGTAGGTGTGTTGTCAGGGTGATCTGATTTGAACCTGTGAAATATTCCCAAAAGGTGTGTTGTCATGGCGATCTGATTCTGTGATATATACCCAATAGGCTTCTTTATAAAACTTTTTTTCCCTTTACAGTGCCGTGTGTTAGATCTGCTACCATTCTTCATCAATGTCCCGAAGCCCCACGTCACAAAACTCAAGTAAGTTTTAGACATATACTGCATATATTTGAAAGCTTTCATTTGTACATCTTCAGTAAATGAGACTATAATTTCAAAAATATTGTTTTCCTACTCATTCAGTTAACTTTTTGAATGTAGAAATATCAGACTGTAACTCTCCACTTGGTATTTGTTGTCATGCTATTGTCAGAAGTGGGAGATATTATCGTTTTCAGTGTTTCTGTTGTTTATTTGCACTTCCTCCAAAATAAACAGAAATTTTATAACTATTTGGAAACAAGTTTTTTCAACTTATATTTGTTAAATCACCCCTGCATAAAAGTGTGTAAGGGGTCTTAATATGGGAGAAAACAGGAAAATCCGGAGAAAACTAAGGTGGTGGAGCAGGTGAACCCTTTCATGTCTGATTGGGAAATCAAACTCCGGCTATAATGGTATAAGGCAAGTGTGCTATCCACTTCCCCAACTTTCCAATAGATATATTAGTTCTGTGTTTGTTTTATATTCAAGGACAAGTTTGGACAGACTTGTGGCTGATAACTTCCCTTTGAAGAGTTCAGAATTCCCCAAAGGCAGTTCCCAGTATCGGGATTATATAACAGCATTAGACAAGGTAAAACTAGGATTGAAATGTTTCACTTTCCCCTGACGACAAGGCTGCGGAGGGGATATAGCTTTCTGTTTGTATGTATGTGTGTACATCGTTATGTATTTTAACATTTTGTTATTAGCGTCTTTATTTCTCCAAGGATCTTGATCAAACTTACCTTATTGGTTGAGTATGCCAAAGTTTGTGTTTCAGGGTGCGAAGATCAAGGTCAGTGTCATAGTTGCTATTGATAGAAAATCTTTGTCATCACTCTAGCAACTTCAATTTTTAAAGGGTTTTGATCAAACTTTATATGATGGTCAAAAATGAGAATGCTGCAAAGAATCCATATTTCAAGGTTCCAAGGTCAAGGAAAAGGTCACTCTTGTTATATATAGAAATTTGTCAACCAATACAGTGACATCACTCAGCAACTTTATTTCTTAACAGAGTCTGATCAATTTTTGTACAGGAAAAATGAACTTTGACCTCAAATGAGTTTGTATTTCAAAGTTCCAATGTCAATGTAACTATTAATAAAAGATTGTAAAAGAAGGATACTAATTAGCATTAGAGTGGGGCCATTCATGTCTTCAGACATTTTCTCGTCTTCAAAAGAAGCAAATGGTATTGCTATGAAAAGGAAATCATTTCCTAATAGTAGGAGAACGTACAGTATTTATTTCTACGTATAAACTAAGTTCTGCTGGTACCCAGTCATTAATGTAAGTGGGTGGAAGGATTAAATGCTGTTAGCATTGGTGATTCAATTGCAATTTCATGTTTCAAGTTTTTCAAAGTTATCGTAGATATTTGTGTTCTGTGGTAGATTTTGAGTGGACTGGAACTTTCTGGCAGTCTCGTTCTCCTGGAGCTCCTGATCAGCATCACCTGCCGGGAACAGAAGCATACCTATGAAGATACCATCCAACAGTTTCTAAACAGATTCACAAAAAGGTAAACATACATGTAGGAAGAATTTCCGTGTTAATTTTTCTTCCAATGAATAAACATTGATGGATGTTTATGTCGCAGCATTCACTAGCAGAGAAAGGTCATTTGTTTGGGGCTACCAGTACTATAAAACAAAAACAAAATTCTGACCCCATTATATTTTCATCCAACATGAACAAGTGTCCAAATTCAATATAATATCCTATAGTAAACTTTACTGGTATGTAAACCTGGGTTAATTAAACATTGGGATTTTTTTATTTAAAAGGCCACAAGGCAAATTTTGGTGTGCACAAAAATATTGTGGTTTACAGTATTCCATTTTAAACAAGAGATGTGTGAATACTGTTTACATACTTCAGGCTTCCTGCAGACAAACAGAAGCTGGCAGTAGATGTGGCCTACGGAGTGTTCAGTAAAGAGAGTTACCCTGCAGAGATCCGTACGGCAACCCTACACAAGGTGGCCTTGCCTATGCTACATCTGTGTCACAAGTCTGCACTTATAGAATTCTATCTGGATCATATGAAGGAACTGAGGTCCATAACCGAAGCCAAGCAGGTCAAGGTCAGTGGCAATGTTACTAGGGGTCAGGTCAAGGTCACTGGCCATTTTTACAAGGGGTCAGGTCAAGGTCAGTAACAATGTTACTAGGGGTCAGATCAAGGTCACTGGGCATGTTACTAGGGGTCAGGTCAAGGCCAGTGGTCATGTTGCTAGGGGTCAGGTCATGGTCACTGGTCATGTTACTAGGGGTCAGGTCAAGGTCAGTAGCAATGTTACTAGGGGTCAGGTCACTGTTTCTGATATTGTCAGTAAGGGTTTATTGTGAGAAGTTATATCTAAAGGTCAAATTCGGTGAGAACATTACTAGGAGGATGAGAAGAACACCTAATATTATTTAAAACATATTGAATCTCTTCTATAATATTGAGACAAAGACTACAGTATAGTGCTAGTATTAACAATATCAGTGAATTATCCTTATCTCAATCTTTTCTACAAATTTATTCGAGGTTTCTTCCATCTGAATTTTTTTTTTTCTTATCTTATGACTATATCATGTTTAACTATAGATTTTGATACTGTGTTCTAAGGAACTAATAGTTTGGTGTATGATTTTGAAGCCATGCTTTCCACAGGGCCCGGGGTTGGAGAACCAGCTGGTGAGCAAGACTGGCTGTTTCCAGCTCATAGACATCATGTACTCACACCTAGCTAAAGAGAATGTCTCCAGCAAAAACTCAGTCCTTAACGAGAAGTTTTGTCAGATCAAAAACGAACCAATCAAAACAGGATCAGAGATGACTAGGGTGATAATGAAGTAAGAAATGACTGTTAGTTAATTAATTTTAAACTTGTTTATTTTTTAACATTAATGAAACAGGCTATTCAAATTTATATTAATCAATCTTATATTGTAAATTAACTAGGGTAATGACGATATAAGGAATGTTATTAGTAAAAGAAAAATCAGGATAAAGTATGAAAATTATGCAATATTTCAGAAATGTTTTCTTCAATGAATGCCTCTAAGCTTCGGTTAAAGTTAAGTGCAGATGTTTGGTCGTAAAAGTATTTGCAGTGCGCTTGATATGTCAATTCCTGTTTCATGTAAACTGCTAAATGAAAGAAAAAATAGTCTCACATTGCCGGTATGATGTTTTACATAAGAATTGGCCATGCTGCCAAGGGAGAGGATACCCGAGGGGAGACAACTCTGCTGAGCCTGCGACGCCTCCACCACTGTGCTGCCTATAACATGCTTATTTCTGTGGTATCTTGTACTCAGACGGAGGCCAAGTTTTATCAGGTGTTCCTGTTTAAGGAGGACGAGACAAAGGTAAAGTGGAATCTATATCTGACTTTATTTATAACTGTATTAACAGTGATAGGTTATTATAACATTTTAACATTGAGACATAAAATGCTGTCAACTTGATAAACCTGACAATTTCACAGGAATGATAATCGTATCGTGCTCAGGACATCAAGAAAAAATGTCATGTTATCATGATGCCACACTAGGTCTGCCCCTGAAAGGTTCCTTTGTACTCATTGTAATGAGTACTTAATAGAGTCAGCTCATCCATGCATTTTTTCTGTAGACACAATCTTGTCCGTCCATCTGTCTGTAAAGAAAATATTGTCTGCCTCATCATTTGCCAGGCTGTAAATGATGATGAAAAACTTAACTTTTTGACCATGAATTTGTTTACTAAGTTAGAAATTACATGGAAAACTATATTTTCGCTTGTGCTTTACAGTTCAGAATTCAGCTAAACTCGGGAAATATTTATTCCCAACAGGTTTCCATTACATATACGCTATAAGTTTGTGTCAGTTTTGTTGTTGTTGCCCAAAACCAATTCAGGAAAGCAATTTTAATTTGTCACTTTTGTAGCAAGTTTTATAGTTATATATTCAAGGATGATAGGTTAAGAAATGAATGTGATCGGTAACCTGTGTTACTAACCATTTCCTACATCTGTTGGGATGAATTGAATGCTCCAGAGTTTCTAATGATTATGTTTTCTATTTTACAGGGTGACTTTTTGCTGGATAATCTAATTGATAAGGAAAGGACATACGAATTCCCCACAGAATTGACAGTAAGTTTTAACACAGGACTATTTAAGTATCATCATGTAGTGAATTCCTTCATTTCTATATTTTGTTTGTTACCCTATTTGTGTAATAAGACAGTGTATCACCCTTTGTGACATGAGAATTATGATGGTGAACATGACATCCTGGAACATTGGTGTCCTATTGAAGACGACGGTCTGAATGACATCAAGATTGTGACATATTGAAGACTTGACGATGTTCATAGAGAGTAGACTATTTTGCAGAATGACATGCAGTCCTGGTAATGTGATCAAATTAAGCATTGAACTGCTTTCCATTGACATTCATAGTCAATATGAATACCAACTAGAATGAGACAGATTCCATAAAATGTTCTGGCATTTCAAGTTGAATTAGTCATGTTTCACCTAGCCTTCATATTGACTATGCCAACTAAAAGCAGCTTAATAATTATGTTTACCGTTTTAAAAGTATATTATCATAGAAAATTAAATTCATTTTATGTCAAAATTCAGCATTCATTTCCAATAACTGTATGTATTGTGTGTATGATTGTTATGGGGCCCAGCCATCCTCATAAGAGGACAAGTGGTATCCAATGACACAATTATGATGTCATAATAATTATTACCTCGACATGTGGGCATTCATAGCTGATATATATAGCGGCAATGCCAGTGGTAGTGAATTTATAAACTTATCTCATGGTTTTCTTTGAGCATGGCAGACTTGATTTATAAATCAAGTTGTTTATAACGCAACAACTGTTTCTTCTAAGATGGTGATTGGCAAGGAGGTTCTTGAGGGGCCTACCATTGTTGCAAGGAGGTCTTATAATAATGAAATAATAGTTTTTGTTGAGTTAACTTTTATTAGAATAGGGACCTTGCTTTTGATACTAAACTAAGTTTGTCTGCTGTCCTTGTAAGTCTCCCATGGAGAGAAAGAAGCAGTTTGTGTCGCTGCGTAAGGAGGTACAGGAACGGCAACAAGAGGATGGCGTTACCATGGAAACGGAGTATTCTTCCTTCAACCTAGCCTCACAGTACCTGGCTGACAGCAGTCTCCATGACGACGTCAGTCAGTATGACTTCTCCACCGCAGGCACATCACAGGTCAGGGTTTTAGGTTTAAATTTAATGAAATCTTATTGGTACAGCTGTATTATGTTTATGATAAAATGCTTTTTTACATGTTTAAATTTATATATGTGATGTAGTTATAGAGACAAGGTGACATCTTCTCTACTGTATTACTACAAAGGACTTCATATTAGATGTTCCAAGATCATCCAGATCACGGAGGTTATATATACCAAGGGTGTCCAGGTGAGGATGGAAAACTTGAAGGCTTTGTTTCCTTAACGGAGAACAAATTGTTTTTTAAGGGCCCCGTATCGGAGATACGGGTGCCCTATAGTAATCACTCTGTCTGTCTGTCTGTCTGTCTGTCAACAAATTTTGTTTCTGGCTGATAACTTTGGTATTTATTGACCAATGTACATGAAACTTGGTCAAGATGTTCAGTTCACAAAATTACACATTGAAGTAAAAAGTCAAGGTCAAAGGTCAAGGTCATTTGGTTCAAAGGTCAAGGTCAAATTTTACATCTTTTCACTGATGAACATTTTGTTATGACATTATGAAGCAAAGTTGATCAGAATTAAACAAGGAGTCAACTGACCAAAGGTCAAGGTCATTGGGTCAGGGGTCAAGGTCAAATTTTGTAGCTTTTCACTGGTGAACATTTCGCTATGACACTTTGAAGCAATGTAGCTCAGAATTAAACAAGGAGTCAATTGACCAAAAGTCAAGTTCACTGGGTCAAAGGTGAAGGTTAAATGTTGTACCTTTTCCCTGATGAACATTTTGTTATGATATTATGAAGCAAAGTTGGTCGGAATTAAAGAATAAGTCAACCGACCAAAGATCAGGGTGGCTAGGTTAATGGTCAAGGTCATTTGGGTCCAAAGGTCAAAGACAAAGTGGATCTCTGACTTTGACCCTGGCTCTTGATGGAGGAGGTATATAAGGTGAAATAAAACAAATCAAAGCTAACAAATGAGTATTGCTCCGGTATTTACATTTCTGTTAGCCCAGCAAATATGGAGGTGGAAGGAAACAAGACTCACATCATAGTACATGCAAAATGTATATTTTGCTTCTTTGCGATTCTTTTTGAAGTCCAAATAGCAAAAGTCAAGCTCAGCTATATGGGCAGATTACTACTTGATGATTATGGGGGATATATTGCCACAAGACGGGGCCCTTACTGACCTGTCAGTGTTTTAGTGATGCTTGTATTCTTGCTGTTATGTTTAGCATATACCAAGGAAGATCGATGAAGTTTTATTTTTTTCATAAGTTTTATATTTGATTGTTTAGTTTTCACCTTCACCCTCGGACAAAGGGAAGACCCGCCTGGGACGGATCTTCAGCTACAATGATCCAGATGACGACACAGTAGGTTTATAAGTACAGTTCAAATCGTTATCAAATACATGTCCTCTACACACAAAAACTTTGACTGCAGTAAATCTTCGATAGAAAATAAAGTGTGTAAATGATAAATGCACCTTTAGTATTAAATGACCTAAAGATGTGCATCAATAACAGGAATATTGCTCTGTATTGAGGTTAACAATATAGGAATTCAGAGATGTATATCTGTATGGTGGTATAATGGAAATTTTGTATACACAGGAGACCAAGGTTGTGGTACAGGATGATTATGTAGAGCTGGAAATGGACGATCTCAACAAACACGAATGTATGGCCACCTTAATAGCCCTGCTACAACACATGGAGCGAGCTGGTGTTACACCTCCCGTCACTACAGTAAGTAGTCGTCACACTGCCACAGTCCTACTACAACACATGGAGTGGATATGTGTTGCACCTCCCGTCACTACAGTAAGTAGTCACCACACAGCCACAGTCCTGCTACAACACATGGAGTGGACATGTGTTGCACCTCCTGTCACTACAATAAGTAGTCATCACACTGCCACAGCCCTATTACACCACATGGAGCGAGCCGGTGTTACACCTCCCGTCACTACAGTAAGTAGTCGTCACACTGCCACAGTCCTACTACAACACATGGAGTGGATATGTGTTGCCCCTCCCGTCACTACAGTAAGTAGTCACCACGCAGCCACAGTCCTGCTACAACACATGGAGTGGACATGTGTTACACCTCCCATTACTACAGTAAGTAGTCGTCACACTGCCATAGTCCTACTACAACACATGTAGCGAGCCGGTGTTACACCTCCCGTCACTACAGTAAGTAGTCATCACACTGCCACAGTCCTACTACACCACATGTAGCGAGCCGGTGTTACACCTCCCGTCACTACAGTAAGTAGTCGTCACCCTGCCACAGTCCTACTACACCACATGGAGTGGACAGGTGTCACACGTCCAGTCAGTCACTACAGTAAGTAGTCGTCACACTGCCACAGCCCTACTACAACACATGGAGCGCGCCTGTGTTACACCTCCCGTCACTACAGTAAGTAGTCGTCACCCTGCCACAGTCCTACTACACCACATGGAGTGGACAGGTGTCACTCCTCCAGTCAGTCACTACAGTAAGTAGTCGTCACACTGCCACACTCCTACTACACCACATGGAGTGGACAGGTGTCACACGTCCAGTCAGTCACTACAGTAAGTAGTCGTCACACTGCCACACTCCTACTACACCACATGGAGTGGACAGGTGTCACACCTCCAGTCAGTCACTACAGGAAGTAGTCGTCACACTGCCACAGTCCTACTACACCACATGGAGTGGACAGGTGTCACTCCTCCAGTCAGTCACTACAGTAAGTAGTCGTCACACTGCCACACTCCTACTACACCACATGGAGTGGACAGGTGTCACCCCTCCAGTCAGTCACTACAGTAAGTAGTCGTCACACTGCCACACTCCTACTACACCACATGGAGTGGACAGGTGTCACTCCTCCAGTCAGTCACTACAGTAAGTAGTCGTCACACTGCCACAGTCCTACTACACCACATGGAGTGGACAGGTGTCACACCTCCAGTCAGTCACTACAGTAAGTAGTCGTCACACTGCCACAGTCCTACTACAACACATGGAGTGGACAGGTGTCACACCTCCAGTCAGTCACTACAGTAAGTAGTCATCACACTGCTATTGTCCTGCTTCAACACATACAAATGAGGCACAACACCAACCTTCCCCTGGATTCAGCATGATTTCTGTCAGCTTGGATACTCCCCGCCTTTGATCTGCTACCACATACCACAATAAAATTCAAACTAAATTTGGTTATGAATACACATTGCACACTTCTATGTATTCATTTCATTCATTATTGGGCCTAAATCAGTGACATAATCAGTAGAATTAGAGCTTTGGCTACTGAATTTGTTGACATCCCTAACTATTCTGCAGAAAGAAAACAAAGGAGAGACTTGCAAGTAACCACCATATTCCTGGGACATTAAGCAAAATGGTGAATGGGCTTATTTATTGGTGAGGTTTTTTTCCTGGTCAAATATGGTAGCCCCCAGGTGCTTATATCATTATGAACTTCTGTACAGTCTCGCATGTTGTGATTTCTTTCTAATTATTGCCCAGTAAGTGTAACAATGTTGTTTTCCTATGTTGTAGGGGACTAACTATTGCCCAGTAAGTGTAACAATGTTGTTTTCCTACGTTGTAGGGGACTAACTATTGCCCAGTAAGTGTAGCAATGTTGTTTTCCTTTGTTGTAGGGGACTAACTCTTGCCCAGTAAGTGTAACAATGTTGTTTTCCTTTGTTGTAGGGGACTAACTCTTGCCCAGTAAGTGTAACAATGTTGTTTTCCTTTGTTGTAGGGGACTATCTATTGCCCAGTAAGTGTAACAATGTTGTTTTCCTACGTTGTAGGGGACTAACTATTGCCCAGTAAGTGTAGCAATGTTGTTTTCCTAGGTTGTAGGGGACTAACTATTGCCCAGTAAGTGTAGCAATGTTGTTTTCCTATCTTGTAGGGGACTAACTATTGCCCAGTAAGTGTAGCAATGTTGTTTTCCTATCTTGTAGGGGACTAACTATTGCCCAGTAAGTGTAACAGTGTTGTTTTCCTTTGTTGTAGGGGACTAACTATTGCCCAGTAAGTGTAGCAATGTTGTTTTCCTAGGTTGTAGGGGACTAACTATTGCCCAGTAAGTGTAGCAATGTTGTTTTCCTTTGTTGTAGGGGACTAACTCTTGCCCAGTAAGTGTAACAATGTTGTTTTCCTTTGTTGTAGGGGACTATCTATTGCCCAGTAAGTGTAACAATGTTGTTTTCCTTTGTTGTAGGGGACTAACTCTTGCCCAGTAAGTGTAACAATGTTGTTTTCCTTTGTTGTAGGGGACTCACTATTGCCCAGTAAGTGTAACAATGTTGTTTTCCTTTGTTGTAGGGGACTATCTATTGCCCAGTAAGTGTAACAATGTTGTTTTCCTTTGTTGTAGGGCACTAACTATTGCCCAGTAAGTGTAACAATGTTGTTTTCCTTTGTTGTAGGGGACTAACTCTTGCCCAGTAAGTGTAACAATGTTGTTTTCCTTTGTTGTAGGGGACTATCTATTGCCCAGTAAGTGTAACAATGTTGTTTTCCTTTGTTGTAGGGGACTAACTCTTGCCCAGTAAGTGTAACAATGTTGTTTTCCTTTGTTGTAGGGGACTAACTCTTGCCCAGTAAGTGTAACAATGTTGTTTTCCTTTGTTGTAGGGGACTATCTATTGCCCAGTAAGTGTAACAATGTTGTTTTCCATTGTTGTAGAGGACTAACTATTGCCCAGTAAGTGTAACAATGTTGTTTTCCTACGTTGTAGGGGACTAACTATTGCCCAGTAAGTGTAGCAATGTTGTTTTCCTTTGTTGTAGGGGACTAACTCTTGCCCAGTAAGTGTAACAATGTTGTTTTCCTTTGTTGTAGGGGACTATCTATTGCCCAGTAAGTGTAACAATGTTGTTTTCCTTTGTTGTAGGGGACAGCAGCTACCATGCCTGGATGGATGGATTATTTACACACCAAAATAAAAAGTGCGAAAACGCATGTCAATGTCAAATTGTTTATTGCAAAGCTTGTCAGCAATTGTACACAGGTTGGTAATGTTACCTGATAATAATTTGTGGAATATTTCATTTTATGCGTAATAAACATGAAATTGGTTTCTCTCGAAACATTTATAATAAGTGATTCATTGTAGAATATCTCAGATTTAAAAGTCTTTGTCCTTTAAGGTTGACTAAGGTTTGTTTTTTTAAATAGAAAGTTCACCTTTATCATTGTATGTGATTTATTGTTTTAGTTACCAAAGCATGTAGTTTACTTTTGATAAATTATTAAGTGTGCTCGAACAGTCCATTAGTGTTGAAGATTTCTGAACCTAGAAAAATTGATAGCCTACAGAGTCCTTGACCTTGAAATAAGGTTCTATAACCTACTGACCTTTGTGTTCTACAGATTTTCCAGCCATACGCACGGTACTGGCTGCGGCCGCTAAGCCAGCTGATTCTGAGTGGTGCCTTGGGGAGCCAGGGGATCAATTACTTTGTAGTAGATGTGGTGGTCACTATGATGTCCTGGCACAAGATGGCTATACCTCAGGTAAACACTTTCCTAATATCATACTGACAGTTGACAAGGTGACTGTTTCCCTGGTAAACACTTTCATTATATCAGACTGACAGTTGACATATTTATTTTAAATAAGTGTTACTCCCATTAGTTTGTGTCTTTAAAATTCAGGACACTGCAGAGGAGCGTGCCATGGCGACACGAGTTGTGGATTACTTGACGGCCAACGTGTTCAGTGAAACACGGCCGGTGTTTAGGAACAACTTAGAGCTACTGAAAACTCTGCTACAGTGCTGGAGAGATCGCCTGGAAGTACCTTACAAGTACAGTGCTGTTTAGATTTTTTGTTATTTTATTTACATTCACTGATTTTAAGACCTATTCTGTTGATCATGCAATGGGATTTGATTATCTTAATTCTAATCCAATTAATGTTGAAATGAAGAAGTGTAATGGCAATGGGATAACAATATAGTATCTTTATTTTACAACAATTAATGTGGGTATGAATTAAGACAGGGATTTGTACCCATGTTCCTCTTGTCTAGATTAATTGATGGCCCTCTGACCAGTCACTGACTGTATGATGTAGTTTCACTTTGTTTTATTGAAGGCAGTCAAATTGGTTACCATTTTTTTAATTAAAAAAAAGAATATTTTTGTTTATAAATATATAGCCAAAATGATGTAGTGGTAAGTGTAGCTGGTAGTTATTAGCTAGGTGGTTTGGTGCTGTAGATATTTACTTTAAGACCTGGACAAGGCAAGTCATAAAATTGTCTCCTTCTTCATTATTTGCATGTTCATTTTGTGTATTGATAAAATAAAGATGATGTATTGTGTATGTTATTGATCCAAAGTTTGAACATACTTGTCAAAGTTGTACTTCATTTAATATAAAACAAAATCACCATACTCGTCACAAATTACAGTGTATAGAGTGAAGATATATATGTGTATATAAAAAAACAGTCACTCAAGATCTCCGGCACCAAATCGTCTAGCTGAGAAATACCAGCAACAGTTTTTTGGACATCGAATGCTTGCACTCAGACTTGTTGTTCCTTGCAGTGTGATATACAAGCTGATGGTGGAGTCGCGCAGTGACCCCAAGTCACCCCGCCACAGCACTGGGATTCAGATATTGGGCGTTGTCCTTGCTTGCAAGTTCCCACCCTATGGTCCTGTGGCCCCAGTAGACCGGGATAAGTAAGCAGCGTTATTGTAATACATGAATGTTAATGTATTACAGGGATGTTAATATAATACATTGATGTTAATGTAATACATGGATGTTAATGTAATACAGGGATGTTAATGTAAAACACAGGGATGTTAATGTAATACATGGATGTTAATGTAATACATGGATGTTAATGTAATACAGGGATGTTAATGTAATACATTGATGTTAATGTAATACAGGGATGTTAATGTAATACAGGGATGTTAATGTAATACAGGGATGTTAATGTAATACAGGGATGTTAATGTAATACGGGATTTTAATGTAATACAGGTATGTTAATAGAATACCTGGATGTTAATGTAATACATGGATGTTAATGTGATACATGGATGTTAATATAATACATTGATGTATTATATTAACATCCCTGTATTACATTAACATCCAGGTATTCTATTAACATACCGGTCGATCAGTCTGGTGTCCTTCATTAGTCATTGGTCGATCAGTTTGGTGTCCTTCATCAGTCATTAGTCAGTCTGATATCCTACATCAATCATTGGTCAGTCAGGTGTCCTACATCAATCATTGGTCAGTCTGGTGTCCTTCATTAGTCATTGGTCGATCAGTCTGGTGTCCTTCATCAGTCATTAGTCAGTCTGATATCCTACATCAAATGTTAATGTAATACAGGGAGGTTAATGTAATCCAGGGATGTTAATGTATACATGGATGTTAATGTAATACAGGGATTTTAATGTAATACAGGGATTTAATGTAATACAGGGATGTTAATGTAATACAGGGATTTTAATAGAATACCTGGATGTTCAGTGATGACCACCATTTGACTCAGTATGACCTGTACATTTTACCACCATTTGACTCAGTATGACCTGTACATTTTACCACCATTTGATCTAGTATGGCCTGTAAATTTTAATGAGTCATTAAGTGTGCAGCAAGCAGTCAGACGTTAGTTATTAAATTTGTGAACTATTTCAGAGGAGGAAATCTTATTAACAAAGAAAGTTTGTTTCCTATTGGGAAATAACCAAATGGAAAGAAATTAAAAAAAAAAATCTGTTACCCTTACTATAATGGTGTGTTGTAGATTTTTCTCCACAGTATCAAACTACCTGACCCATCACTTGCGGTCTGTGTATGCAGCTACGGCCGAGGTGGTCGGTATGATATTCCAGTACCTGGCTGAGAAAGAGAAGGAAACTGACGGAGCATTCTATAACCATGTGACTGGTCTGATGAACTCAATCCATCTGTCTAAGCCAGATAACTTTGTAATAGGGGTCCATCGACTTCAGCGACACTACCCTCCTGTGGCTGCCAAGTAAGGCTGCTTACTATAGACGTCAGCAAATATAGAATCTTAAGATTTACTTTTCATTCATTAACATATGGTTAACTGTTTTAATCTTCTGATGAGTGAATACAGTAAACGTAAACTTTGGTTATTTTATTTTTGTCTATGCAAAAGCCACTTTTATGTGGGCACTTTTAACCCCTGTGAGTATTTGCAATAATGAAACTGGTAAGGTAGCCATTAAAGTCTGTACTTGTACTGGTAAGTAAGCAGAAAGATTCTATAAAACATAAAGGATAGAATTTTTCCTAGTGCTTAGTATTTGAATGGTTGTACATGAAGTGGACTATTTTACCTTCTGGCGGAAGTACAAACTTGGCACTGGGCAAAAAATGAAAGATAAGGGTGAAAAATCTGCCATGGCAAAAGTAATGTTGTTTACAGGAACTGTTGATCACTTGTTATTAACCACTCTAATATAAAAACTATATAAATTACACTTATCATTGAATTATATTTCTTTTGGATGCAGTGGGGTATAAACAAATCAGGTGAAAAAGGGGATATGTAATGAATGAAGCATACTTTCTCTATGATCAACAGAGTGTCCAGTCTTCTATTTATCAATGGAAATTTTCTCCACAGATTCATCAATAAGGTACTGTTCATGTTGCCAAAGATGCATGGGGAGTTCCGCAGCCTCAGTCTGGAGATCATACATGGCTGTATAGAGAGCATTGATAATGTCTACATGGAGCTGAAGTCGAAAGGTCTAATATCCTACCTCACTCACAGGTCAGTGTCAAATCCTATGTGTACCTCAGTCTGATGTCCCATATCAATGATTGGTCAGTCTGGTGTCCTACACAAGGCATTGATCAGTCAGTGTCCTTCATTAGTCATTGGTCGATCAGTCTGGTGTCCTTCATCAGTCATTGGTCAGTCTGATATCCTACATCAATCATTGGTCAGTCTGGTGTCCCACATCAATGATTGGTCAGTCAGGTGTCCTACATTAGTCATTGGTCAATCTAGTGTCCGTCATCAGTCATTGGTCGATCAGTTTGGTGTCCTTCATCAGTCATTAGTCAGTCTGGTGTCCTATATCAATCATTTGTCAGTCTGGTGGCCTACATCAGTCATTAGTCAGTCTGGTGTTCTACCTGTTATTGGTCAGTTTTGTGTCGTGAGATTCTGTTACTATTCCAGTACTGACGGCTTTAGGTTTGGAACCAGTCTGTTCTTAATCTAGTGACCTACTCTCATCTAGGTATAGAATCAGAGACTGGCACTAGGCCATGTGATTAACATTATTTAAACAATATAGAAACATGTTAAACAGTGAATCCATAGACTCTGGTATGTGTGTGGATGGACAAAGTTGTAAAGGTAGAATAAAAAACTAGTTACTTTATAAAATAAAGCTTTGATAGTATTTAATGGGGAAACACAATTCTGTACATCTATTTATAATATATAAACTACATTTGCTATATTTTGTGTTTTTATAAAAGGGACGAGCAGACACAGCTGATTGCTCTGAAGATTGTAAAGGCAATGATGGTCAAACTGGAAGCTAAGGAGCTGATGTCCTTGTTGCCACTTGTGACTGCCTTCTCCAGTCATCCTAGTACATCTTGTCGTACCATTATGTACGATGTTCTCATGTGGGTGTACGATAACTATAGGTAAGGCTATTGGTTTTCATTTTAATCAATTGTATTGACAATTCCAACAGGCTATGCTTAGATATACATTGATATCGATGTATTGATGCAGAGGAGGTAACTTTTATAGGAGAAATGTATTATAACCAAAAGGACTGTAAATTATCCTACATTCTATGGAAAAAATAAAGAAATAAAATAAAACAAAATCCTGCTACATTTGAAGTACTAAAATGGATAGCAGATGCCACTTAAATCTTCCTCATAGAAGATAACCTGGTACAGAAGTAGCAAACTGATATCTGTGTTACAGGGGAGATGACAACGAGGATGCCCACATAATCATTCAACAGACCAAGGAGGGGCTCCTGAGGGGACTCGGGGATGAAGATCTTCACTCCAGGTAAAATACTATTATGGTAACATTCTGGCGATGAGCATGGTACACCGGTATTACTGTGATAATTTCTTTGATTTTCTTTTCAATTTTCTCCCCAGTGAAAATTTCCCAAAGTTACCAGTTACTTTTCAGGCAAATTTATTATTTTCTTAATAACAACTAAGTGAATTAGTGAAATCTTTCACTTGAGATATTCATTAAACAAATGCAAATATGAGGTTTAAAAACACAACTCCATCATATATCAAAAGAATTCATAGGCTTCAAGAAAATTTGTCAGGGGAGTTTAGGATTTATACACAGAATTAAACTCGTCTCAGCTCAATGACAATGTTTTAGGTTTCAAGAAAACCTTATAATAAGCCCACCCCTGTATGTCTAACTTTGTATTTGGTTCATTTAATACAAATTCTACACCTTTATTCAGACAACACCCTGGATATGGGATTTCTTGTAACACCCTTCATAAACTGTTGTAAGCATTTTGTGGATTGCAGGATTGCAAAGGAGTCCAAACACACCAACAAAATGCAACATAACACTAAGTGTGACTTGTGATGTTTATTTGTTTGATCGACTGTGTAGCAGTCCATTAAATGTAGTAACTACTAGCACAGATACCTGCGATAATACAATATTTTCTACTGTTCGCTATTATCAAGTTTTAGTTTTAAATCTGTGTGCAATCATAAAAGGGTTTGGCAAATAGACCAAGAATGTGATATATTTGGTCTCATTTACCATGATAGTTCAGGAAAAGAGGTAACAATGGCGATTTCATGGTCAGAGTAATTTATATTAAAATTCTCTATATAAAGGGAGATGATAAATTTGATGGACCTGTTTTCTTGGTATTATCATATTTACTGAAGATGTGTGAACTGTACATGAACATTTATGTTGGACAAACACACAAACTTGTTTTCACTTACAGATTGTTGATCCAGAACTTCTGGAGCAGTGAGACACGTCTGCCTCCGGACACCTTGGACCGCCTGGTGGCTATGCTGCAGGCAATGTATGCTCCCGTTACAGAACAGCAGTACCTTAGCTACTCCACCAATCTCCTCCTGGAGATGACCTCAAAAAGTCCAGACTACCAGCGGCAAATATTTGAGCATCCTCTTTCTGAATGCAAATTCCAGGTACTACTGTTATTTTTGCATATTTCTGATTATAAAATATAAGTTCAGATCCTTAAATAAAGATGTCATCAAGGATATTCATTTTTAGGTCACCTGAGCTTTGCTCAAGTGACCTATTCTGATGGCTTTCCGTCCGTCGTCATTTGTCCGTTGTCCGTTGTCCGTTGTCCGTCGTCCATCGTCCGTCGTCCATCATGCATTTTCAACTTCTTCTCAAGAACCAGTGGATGGAACTTTTTGTATGAAAATTGTAAAATTGGGGTTCCTACCCCAACCCCTGGGGTCAGGGTGGGGTCCCAAAGGGAAAATTAACCAATATTTCAAAAATCTTCTTCTCCAGGCTCAGAGGTACTACAGTCATTTTCCCTGCATGGAAAGAAAGATCATCAGGGGCTTTATTTAAATTGTAAATTTGAGGACCCTCAAGCTATCCTTTCTCCCTTGGGAAGGGGGTAAAGTTTATTATATTTATGTAGGGAAATAACACTTTTGGGTATATTTTGACAATTTTCTTTAGGAAATTATTTTTAGTTTGTGAGAATTATCCTTGGAGGAAGGTGGTTTCAAATTGTAAAATTGGGATTCCTACCTCCACCCAGGGGCCAGGGCAGGGCCCCAAAGGGAAAGTTAATCAATATTTCAAAAATCTTCTTCTCCAGATTCTGAGGTACTACAGTCATTTTCTCTGCATGGATGGAAAGATAATCTGGGGCTTTATTTGAATTGTAAATTTCAGGGCCCTCGGGCCATCTCTTCTCCCTTGGGGAGGGGGTAAAGTTTACTATAGTTTATATGGGGAAATAACACTTTTTGGTATATTTTGACAACTTTTTGTAGGAAATTATTCTTACTTAGTGGAAATTATCCTTGGAGGAAGATAGTTTTCAAATTGTAAAATTGGGATTCCTGCCCCATCCCCATGGGGTTAGGGCAAGGCCCCAAAGGGAACATTTACCAATATTTTAAAATTCTTATCCATTGATGACATGACAAGTATTGTATTTCACTTAGTTTACATGCTGATTTCCACATCACATCTAAACAATAAAATAAAGCTACCAGTACCTATGATATAACTCAGGTGACCGCTAAGGCCCTTGGACCTCTTGTTTTTAGTCTCATGTGATCTATTAATGCAATCATCTTTGTTCTCTGCTCATAAACAATTTACTATTTTGACTTCTCATTACCCACTGCACCAATTTCAATACATTTTTAAAGGAAGCATCAATGGCCAAAAAACCCCAAAGATGTGAATCATAGGGGGCCTGCGGTATGGTGCCAATAGAGGAGAGATTGGCTGTAATATCCTTAAAAATCCTCTTCCTCAGATCCACATATTTAATGATACAGAACTTTCATGAACAGAAACAACATCCATAAGACAGAGATAAAAGACCTCGGCCAGTATTGATCCCCCTGGCTTATGAATGATAGTAACAAGTTTTGGTTTGAAATTAATTACTAGTATCATGCTATCTGCCTAGGATTACAACGTGAAGTCGTCATGGAGACAGAGACATGTAGCCATGACGCCACTTTTTGCCAACACCTTGGCAACCCAAGCAATGGACTCTGACAGTCCCCCATCTGACAGTTTGGACGGTCAGATACAGGCTACAGCCGATGTCCAGCAGTTCACAGCCACTCAGGACGGTCAGTATTTATCAACATAGGAATTGGGATTTAGTTACTGTAAATATGAAGGTATTAAATCCAGGTAACCATTCCTTTCAAAGGGGGAAAATGCTTTTTGATAGCTGTCAAATAATAATGCTTGATAGTTGTGAAATGGTAAATTTTGGTATTTGACAAGATTTTCCAGCTATTATTGAAATCACTTGGCTTGGGATTAACTGAAATCAAGGCTATCTTAAAATGCTAAAACCTTAATTAGCCTAACAACATCAACAAAAAAACATTTATTGCCCACCACAGGGTCGAGAGCCCCATTTAACTGGTTGACTCAGAGCAGCTTGGACACATTCACTGACTATGGAACGGTAGGCTCAGAGCCCCAGAGTGCTCTACTCTTCACTGTAGGCTCCATGGAGGCCTCGGCCAGGATTGGGCGCCCCAGGATGCGGCCTAAACCCTCAGGATTCGGACAGCCACGTCCAGGGCCCAGTAAGGTCAAGACAGAGGAGAAAGCTGGGCCATCAGGTACAGATTATCACTGATCTAGAAAACCTAAAACCAGATTTCTTATGTTTATTTTATGTTCTTTTTTTTCAAAATGTTTTCATCAAAATGGCATATACATGGGTTCAGAATGATTAAAAGACCAGCATTTACAGGTTAAAGTGTTTTAATACATTGAAAACACATCAGTATCAGTTAAAAAGGTACTGTTACTACAAGTATAGTTCTGAGAGCAACAACTGTTATACAAATACATCTTGTCAAAAAAGGTAAAGAGGAAGGAGTTGTTGAGATGATTACAAAAAAGGGGAGGTAATCTGAGGGGATCTTATATACTGTCTTGTTGCCCTTGTCTGACAGAATCAGATGAAGGGAATGAGATGTTCAGGCTGAAGAGAAGGTTTCTAAGAGATGAGGAAGCCAGCAGGATCTTCTTTGCCAGGAGGACCGTCCGTGTACAGCAGATGAGACAGGTTAGTTGCTGGCTAGTATTTTGGTGTTGCCAATAACAGAGGATATTATAAGGGCCCCGTATCGGAGATACGGGTGCCCTATAGTAATCACTCTGTCTGTCTGTCTGTCTGTCTGTCCGTCCACAAATTATGTTCCTGGCTGATAGCTTTGGTATTTATTGACCGATGTACATGAAACTTGGTCAAGATGTTCAGTTCACAAAAATACACATTGAGGTAAAAAATCAAGGTCAAAGGTCAAGGTCATTAAGTTCAAAGGTCAAGGTCAAATTTAATATCTTTTCACTGATAAACATTTTGTTATGACATCATGAAGCAAAGTTAATCAGAATTAAACAAGGAGTCAACTGACCAAAGGTCAAGGTCATCGATGAGAGGTCAAGGTCAAATTATGTAGCTTTTCACTGGTGAACATTTCGCTATGACATTATGAAGCAAAGTTGTTCGGAATTAAACAAAGAGACAAACTGAGGTAAAAAGTCAAGGTGAAGGTCATTAGATTCAAAGGTCAAGGTCAAATTTGCATCTTTTCACACATGAACATTTTGTTATGACATTATGAAGCAAAGTTGATCAGAATTAAACAAGGAGTCAACTGACCAAAGGTCAAGGTCATCGATGAGAGGTCAAGGTCAAATTTTGTAGCTTTTCACTGGTGAACATTTTGCCATGACATCATGAAGCAAAAATGTTCAGAATCAAACAAAGAGACACACTGAGGTAAAAAGTTGAGGTCAAAGGTCAAGGTCATTAGATTCAAAGGTCAAGCTCAAATTTGCATTTTTTTATAAGGTTAAATTTTGTACCTTTTCCCTGATGAACATTTTGTTATGACATTATGAAGCAATGTTGTTCAGAACTTTACACAGAGTCAACTGACCTTAGGTCCAGGCTACTGGGTCCAAAGGGTCTAGGTCAAGTTTTGTATTTTTCACTGATGAACATTTTGTTATGATATCAAGAAGCAAAGTTGGTGGGAATTAAAGAATAAGTCAACTGACCAAAGTTCAGGGTCACTAGGTTAATGGTCAAGGTCATTTGGGTCCCAAGGTCAAAGACAAAGTGGATCTCTGACTTTGACCCTGGCTCTTGATGTAGGAGGTATATAAGGTGAAATAAAACAAATCAAAGCTAACAAATGAGTATTGCACCGGTATTTACATTTCTGTTAGCCCAGCAAATATGGAGGTGGAAGGAAACAAGACTCACATCATAGTACATGTAAAATGTATATTTTGCTACCTTGCGATTCTTTTTGAAGTCCAAATGTCAAACGTCAAGCTCAGCTATATGGGCAGATTGCTTCTTGATGATTATGGGGGATATATTGCCACAAGACGGGGCTCTTACTGACCTGTCAGTGTTCTAGTTCTGATTTGTCTTAATAACCTTGAGCCATTGCTTTATCGTTATGCAATGTAAAAACCCTTACAAATTTCAAAACAAGACTGTCTCACTTCTCTGTAACCTGTTGTTACTGTGTTATAAGGTAGCCCTGCAGGAACAGAAGACTCGTCGCGAGAACCAGGTGACAATGTACAGGAAGTACCGTATTGGGGACCTGCCAGACATACAGATAAAGTATTCCTACATCATCGCTCCTCTCCAGGCCGTGGCTCATGTAAGTTTGTCACATAATCACACATTCTCCCTCCATACCTATAGCCCCCAAACAACACCGACCCTATTCCAATCCCCCCTATAGGACATGTAACATGTAAGTTTGTTACATAGAATGTGTGATTATGTAACAAATTCACGGGATACATGACCTAGAGGGGGGAATGGGATAGAGTCTGTGGAGTTTGGGGGCTATAGGGCTGGAGGGAGAATGTGTGATTATGAAAGAAACTTACATGATACATGACGTGTGGGGGGGATTGGGATAGAGTCTGTGGTGTTTGGGGGCTGTGGGGATGGAGGGGGAATGTGTGATTATGTAACAAAGTTACATGATACATGGCCGAGAGGGGGAATTGGAATAGAGTCAGTGTTGTTTGAAGCAATGTCAATGTAACAGTATGTTAGCTGTAGTTCTGTCTCACTGTTACATTGACATTGCTTGTTACAGTGAGACAGTACTACGAAGTACCGTATTGGGGACCTGCCAGACATACAGATAAAGTATTCCTACATCATCGCTCCTCTCCAGGCCGTGGCTCCTGTAAGTTTGTCACATAATCACACATTCTCCCTCCAGCCCTATAGCCCCCAAACACCCCAGCCCCTATCCCAATCCCCCCCCCAGGCCATGTATCATGTAAGTTTGTTACATAATAAAACATTCTCCCTCCATCCCTATAGGCCCCCAACACCACAGACTCTATCCTAATCCCCCCTCTAGCACTTGTATCATGTAAGTTTGTTACATAATCACACATTCTCCATCCATCCCCACAGCCCCCCAACACCACAGACTCTATCCTAATCCCCCCTCTTGGTCATGTATCATGTAAAGGTTCTTACATAATCACACAATCTCCCTCCATCCCTATAGCACCCAACCAACACTGACTCTATTCCAATCCCCCCTCTAGGCCATGTATCATGTAAGTTTCTTCCATAATCACACATTCTCCCTCCACCCCTATAGCCCCCAAACTCCACAGACTCTATCCCATTCCCCCCTCTAGGTCATGTATCCCGTGAATTTGTTACATAATCACACATTCTCCCTCCATCCCTATAGCCCCCAAACAACACTGACTCTATTCCAATCCCCCCTCTAGGTCATGTATCATGTAAGTTTGTTACATAATAACACATTCTCCCTCCATCCCTATAGCCCCCAAACACCACAGACTCTATCCCAATCCCCCCTCTAGGTCATGTATCATGTAAGTTACATTATACCCCCTCCAGGCAATAGTTAATGTAAGTAGGGGGTACATTACCACCACCATCCCACCCCTAAATGTTTTGACTGATGAAAGTGTGCAACATTTCCTTACTTCTGACGATGTGTGGATGAAACTTAATACACAAGGACACCAGTTAGCGACATTTTATGTTCCCCTTCTTTGTTCACTGTTCAAGGTATTTATAGACAGACCAAAATAGCCTATGATGTTTATCTGTACGCCATCTATGCATTTTAGATAATTGCATAGTATTCAAGGTATGCTAGGCTGCGTTTTTGTCCAAGTGCTTCCAGTACAGAAAATACACTCGGGACATTACAGTTTCACCAGTGTAAATTTATACTTTTTTTGAAGGCTTTATCAACTTACATTTCCTAAATATATACTGACTCGGCTGATATCAATATGGTTATAGGAGTTCAACATAACAGGTCATAGTGATCGGACTGTACTTTCATACTTCTGAAGATGATTTGATGAAATTAACAAAATTTCATATCTAGTTACATGTTGGAAGCAAACTTTTTTAAAGCTAGTCATTATTTCTATTTAGGTATTTGAGTCCAGAATGCAGCAAGCATGTTCATGTCCCGTAACATATTTCTAGTTTTAACCTGTGATGATATAAACAATGCTTGTTACATTGACACATTTCCATAACTAACATCCTGTTACATTGACATTGCTTGTTACAGTGAGACAGTTCTACAGCTAACATCCTGTTATATTGACATTGCTTGTTACACTGAGACAGAACAACAGCTAACATCCTGTTATATTGACATTGCTTCTTACAGTGAGACAGTACTTTAGCTAACATCTTGTTACATTGACATTGCTTGTAACAGTGAGACAGTACTACACCTAACATCCTGTTACATTGTCATTGCTTGTTACAGTGAGACAGTTCTAGAGCTAACATCCTGTTACATTGACATTGCTTGTTACAGTGAAACAGAACTACAGCTAGTATCCTGTTACATTGACATTTCTTGTTACAGTGAGACAGAACTATAGCTAACATACTGTTACATTGACATTGCTTGTTACAGTGAGACAGTACTACAGCTAACATCCTGTTACATTGGCATTGCTTGTTACTCTGAGACAGAACTACAGCTAACAACCTGTTTCATTGACATTGCTTGTTACACTGAGACAGAACTACAGCTAACATCCTGTTACATTGACATTTTTTGTTACAGTGAGACAGTACTATAGCTAAAATCCTGTTACATTGACATTGCTTGTTACAGTGAGACAGTACTACAGCTAACATCCTGTTACATTGACATTGCTTGTTAAAGTGAGACAGAACTACAGCTAACATCCTGTTACATTGACATTGCTTGTTACAGTGAGACAGTACTAGAGCTAACATCCTGTTACATTGACATTGCTTGTTACAGTGAGACAGAACTACAGCTAACATCCTGTTACATTGACATTGCTTGTTACAGTGAGACAGAACTACAGCTAACATCCTGTTACATTGACATTGCTTGTTACAGTGAGACAGAACTACAGCTAACATCCTGTTACATTGACATTGCTTGTTACAGTGAGACAGAACTACAGCTAACATCCTGTTACATTGACATTGCTTGTTACAGTGAGACAGAACTACAGCTAACATCCTGTTACATTGACATTGCTTGTTACAGTGAGACAGAACTACAGCTAACATCCTGTTACATTGACATTGCTTGTTACAGTGAGACAGAACTACAGCTAACATCCTGTTACATTGACATTGCTTGTTACAGTGAGACAGAACTACAGCTAACATCCTGTTACATTGACATTGCTTGTTACAGTGAGACAGAACTACAGCTAACATCCTGTTACATTGACATTGCTTGTTACAGTGAGACAGAACTACAGCTAACATCCTGTTACATTGACATTGCTTGTTACAGTGAGACAGAACTACAGCTAACATCCTGTTACATTGACATTGCTTGTTACAGTGAGACAGAACTACAGCTAACATCCTGTTACATTGACATTGCTTGTTACAGTGAGACAGAACTACAGCTAACATCCTGTTACATTGACATTGCTTGTTACAGTGAGACAGAACTACAGCTAACATCCTGTTACATTGACATTGCTTGTTACAGTGAGACAGAACTACAGCTAACATCCTGTTACATTGACATTGCTTGTTACAGTGAGACAGAACTACAGCTAACATCCTGTTACATTGACATTGCTTGTTACAGTGAGACAGAACTACAGCTAACATCCTGTTACATTGACATTGCTTGTTACAGTGAGACAGAACTACAGCTAACATCCTGTTACATTGACATTGCTTGTTACAGTGAGACAGAACTACAGCTAACATCCTGTTACATTGACATTGCTTGTTACAGTGAGACAGAACAACAGCTAACATCCTGTTACATTGACATTGCTTGTTACTGTGAGACAGTACTCTAGCTAACATCCTGTTACATTGACATTTCTTGTTACAGTGAGACAGAACTACAGCTAACATCCTGTTACATTGACATTGCTTTTTACAGTGAGACAGAACTACAGCTAGCATCCTGTTACATTGACATTGCTTGTTACAGTGAGATAGAACAACAGCTAACATCCTGTTACATTGATATTGCTTGTTACAGTGAGACAGAACAACAGCTAACATCCTGTTACATTGACATTGCTTGTTACAGAGAGACAGAACTACAGCTAACATCCTGTTACTTTGACATTGCTTGTTACAGTGAGACAGAACAACACCTAACATCCTGTTACATTGACATTGCTTGTTACAGAGAGACAGAACTACAGCTAACATCCTGTTACATTGACATTGCTTTTTACAGCGAGACAGTACTATAGCCAAGATCCTATTCAGTGAGCTATTCAAGGCTATATACGACCAGATGGATCAGGTGAAGGTTGAACGGGAGATAGAACCGATCGTGGAACAGATCAAGGACAGTCTGAGCACTGTGCTGTCTCAGTCTGTACAGTACCACCCTCCCTTCATTGGCTGTATGTTGGTGAGTTTACGTGACATATCAACACCTGTTTGTGTGACCTATGCCACTACCATTATATTGTGACAATAATATTGATGTGTCAAAAAGGGCTATAATTACATTATGACTATAATGATAATGTGTGACCTATGTGACTGAGGATATTTTGTGACCCATGTGACTGATCTTGTGTGACCCATGTGACTGTGAGGATATTGTGTGACCCATGTAACTATAATGATAATGTTATTGTGTGACCCATGTGACTATGATGATTTGTGTAACAGGATATTGTGTACCAGCTGAGGAGCCAGCTCTCTGTAGATGTGACAAGTGTGGGTTCAAGTGCCACCTTCAGTAACTTACAGCCCTTAGGTAAGGAAAGAATCTGATAATAATTAAACATTGAGAGGTGTTTTGTACACATTGACAGGTGTTTTGTACACATTGACAGGTGATTTGTACTCATTGACAGGTGTTTTGTATACATTGACAGGTGTTTGTACACATTGACAGGTGTTTTGTACACATTGACAGGTGATTTGTACACATTGACAGGTGTTTTGTACACATTGAGAGGTGTTTTGTACACATTGACAGGTATTTTTACACATTGACAGGTGTTTTGTACACATTGAGAGGTGTTTTGTACACATTGACAGGCGTTTTTACACATTGACAGGTGTTTTGTACACATTGACAGGTGTTTTGTACACATTGACAGGTATTGTAGTATTAGAGGAGCAGCTTATCATCCACAATCCAGAGGAAGGGAGACCGTCAAAGAGAGGAAGGACGGACACTCTGACCATCTCTAAAGAAGTCCCTACTTGGATAGAGCTGGCAAGGTCAGTGACTCCTGGATTTAATGAGCTTCTGAATTTTACTTCCTTCTGGTTCAAGAATTTCTATAACAAGTCTCTTGGGTTATATATATGGGCTGATTACACAATGATTGGTTTTTTGGTGTCAAATTTTTCCATGCTAAATATTTGTTAATTAGTGGTGGAACTTCCCTTGTATAAGACTTCATATATTATGTTCCTCAAAATAGTTGCATAATGTCATACTTGTATCTGCATGCTTAAAATTTAAACATAAATAAAGAGTTGGTGCTCTGAAGACGGCCTCCCTTTGGCCGAAACATGTCAGCACATAGGATATAATTCAAGCATCACATTTTATACAGGATTCAGTGCATCCTCGATATCCAGGGGGTTGCGCTCACTAACGCTATCTGCACCCCTGAAATATGTCATAGCAAAATTGAAGGCTCAGTGTGCACCACCTTGTGGATGAAACAAGAAGACTAGTTCGATCCTTTGATGTACATCAAAAGAATCTTGCGGTCATAACGATAAAATTTGACTGTCTTTGAAGTTGTGTGTCCCTCCTCTGTAATCTTCAAAGGAAAGGTATCAGCCTGGCAATTGATCAAGTTTTTTTTTACCCCAGACCAATCAAACAGCCATACTTCCTGCCTTCAATTTTGCTATGACATATTCCAGGGGTGCAGAAAGTGTTAGTGGGTGTAACCCCTGGATATCGAGGCTGGATTCAGGGGTGTTGTTGCTCATCATTTTGATTTTCATCAATAAAGTGTTTGTGTATATACCCCCTTGAAACAAAATAACCCTTTAAAATAACATATTTTGAGTTCTTTCAGATGAAATCGTTAGATCTAAGAATATAGGAATAATTCAGCAAATTAACTCATTGGTTGAAAATACTAAATATAAGGGTCCAAAATCGGGAGTCTTCCTCCTAGGTAGGAAGAGTTAGCAAGTATGTACTGTAGAGTTTGAGGTAAATGTTCATGCTCACAGTGAGTAAGGGATTCTTACCACAAAATGAGATTGTAAGGTATGTAAGGTCAATATCATGATAAATTACAGGATTCTTCCTACAGAAGTATGTAAATAAGTATGTGTTGATCTTCAGGTTATACAAGTCTGTGGATGAGTATGATGTACTGCTCGGAATATTTACGGGGAAGATCGGAACTCAGGATATTACCCAGAAGGCAGTGTCCTTTGAGGCAAGGGGAGACTACTACCAAGCCAAGAAATTATATGATGAGGTTTGTATCTGTGACATATTGTCTCTCCACAGATGTTAATATTGAATACATGGGTACATTTAATTATTTGGTTAATCCTATCATGGGTGTCTGATGGTAACTAGTGCTTATAAACAACAGCATCTGGTCAGTCTAGGTACAAACAATGTAGTATTTTGTTAATTCAATGTAGTTTGTACTCAAATGAGAAACTTGAAACTTTTCACCAGTCAAACTTTCATTCTTCACTTATTAATCTATTTTTGCCAAGTGTTAAGTTCATCTTCACATTGTAATAACATTTTTAGCTCACCTGGTCCAAACAAATAATGACAAGTTGGAAATGGTCCAGCGAAGGGCAGCGCGCTATGTGCTCAATAAGCACAGGTACAACCATCGTACCTCCAGTGTGTCAGAAATGTTGGACCACCTAAAGCTGCGCCCTCTAGCAGATAGACGTAGAGATGCTCGTCTGACCATGCTTCATAACATTGTAAACCAGAAAGTCGCTATCGTAAAATCAGACAGATTAATCCCTACAGTTAGAAAATCCCGAACAAACCACCAGTTTTCGTATCAAATTCCCCACTCAAAAACCCAGACCAGAAAGGCATCATTCTTCCCTCGAACTATACCCGAGTGGAATAAACTCCCACCTGACATTATTTCGAGCCCCACAACGGAATTATTCAAATCAGCCCTCTACCGTCACCTTTCAAACGCAAATTAGACCATCTCGTATCTTTTAAAAACAATCTCTTTCCATGTTTCACTCCTCGTCTGACATTTTATCTTCAAATTGTTGAAGTTGGTCAGTACCATTAAGAAGTAGTAGTAGGACCATGGTGAGCTTATGCCATACTGCAGCGTCTGTTCCGTCGTCCGTCAACTTTTCCTTTAAAACACTACTAGTCATGAACGACTGAGCAGATTTTGTCCAAATTTGGTCAAAAGCATCCTTGGGAAAAAGGGGAACAAATTTTGTATAAATGGTCGGTCTGGCCCCCCTGGGGGCTGAGGGGCGGGGGCCCAATAGGGGAAATATAGCAAATTCTTTAAAATCCTTCTTCTTCTGTAGGAGTGAAAGGATTTGTTCCATATTTGGCCTGAAGCATCCTTGGGTGAAGGGGAACCAATTTTGTATAAACTGTGGGTTTGGCCCCCCAGGGGCCTGAGAGGCGGGGCCCAATAAGGGAAACATAGCAAATTATTATTTAAAATTCTTCGTCTGTAGGAAGGAAAGGATTTGGTCCATATTTGTTCTGAAGCATCCTTGGGTAAAGGAGAACCCAGTACATGTATATTTGATTGAGAAACCAGTTTTTTTATTGAGAAATGAGTATGTTTGGGTGAGAAAACAGTATTTTTGATTGAGAAAATAATATTTTTAAAGGAGATAACAGTATGTTTTGGTGAGAAAACAGTATTTTTTTATTGAGAAAACAGTATGTTTGGGTGAGAAAACAGTATGTTTGATTGAGAAAACAGTATGTTTTGGTGAGAAAACAGTATGTTTGATTAAAATATTTTACTACTGGCTAATTTACANTTTTGCCTGTAGCTTTATCTTAGATCACTTTTAAGGTTACAAGCGTGAGTTTTATACCAGGTGAGCGATGCAGGCCCATTGGGCCTCTTGTTATAAGATGAGATAAAACTGTGTTGTGTTTGCAGGCACTGGGTTATTCTGACTCCGACTGGCCAGACGGGAATCCTGAGATGGCTGAAGTAGACCTGTGGGATGACTGTAGGATGGAGGTACATCATTTCCCCCCTTCAAACAAAAGGAGACATTGTTGACATTATATTTGTTCTTGTTCTTCTTCTGATAACATAATTTCTGGGCTAATATTTTAACCCTCCAAAATCGATTGAACTTGAATCATACCTGTATCACCAACTGAACACAGGCAGCACACTGTTAAATAACATTCACCTCTAGGTCAAAGGTCAAACACATACAACATTTTCTGTGAAATCTTGTCCATTGGCTCTAAATTTACTTTTAAACCATTGAAGATGTCTAGATGAAATGTAAAGGATACCTACATAACACACAGAAAGGTTGAAGTGCTCCGTAATAAGGTCATTATGACTTCACCTGTAGGACGAGTCTCAAATAAGTGCAAAACTTCCTATAAGTCGATGTTGCCTGCAGGGCTGTTAGTTTTAAACTGGTGAAGATTTCTTGATGAAAATGTAAACCAGGCCTTCAGGTTCAAAAGTGTTCCTTAACTAAAGGAATTTTCTTAAACGTAACCTTTCAATAGGAAAGCATTAATGATAAGTCAATTTCCTGAAATTATGGAATGTGTGTGCTAAACTGGGGCCTACATTACACACAAAAGGTGCACAGTGCCCTGTATTTTTGTCACCATGACCTTCACCTCAAGGTAAAAGCTAAGGTCAAATGAAGACTGCATCCATGAATGATTGGGCCACTTTATAGTTCAATCTCACTGAGATGTCATAATCTCAAATTAAAAATTATCATTAGATACCGGATATACCATGTCAGATTACCTGACATGGTATCTAATGCTAATTTTGTTACCTATGATATAAAAATATTCCAAAAACATTGAACTAGTATTGAACTGATTTCAGTTTGCTTTCATAGTCAAAACATGCTAGTACTTGACACATTGGTTTGTTTTCAGTTAGGAGAATGTGGTACCAGACTTTTAATGATATACCTATGCATGTGAAAGAAAACTCCTTTGTTGTGATTGATTGTCAACTATTATAACTCTCACAAATTTGTTTTTGTCATTTCAGTGTTTAGATAACTTGACCAATTGGAATGAGCTGGACACAGTGTCCACATCAGGAATTGAAGATGGTAACCTGTCGTCTGTATGGGACGACACCTTTTACCAGGTAAGACTGGACTATATTCTTAAAATTACAGTAAAACTATCGGGCAAAAAAATAAATAAAGTTTGTTTGACATAGACTGAACAACTGGCTTTATGTGTCGACCTAAACAAATTTGCACGCCAAAACAATTTGTGTTTCTGAGAGAGTATATAACAACTGAAATTTAACTTACCAACCGAAACTTCAAAGTGGTAAGTCTGTCAATGTTCAAACTTGAAAAACACATTTTATCACTGAAAGACAGGTTGAGGTACTATCTTGTACTTCAGTATGATGTCAAAACAGACTATCAAAGTTTTACTCCGCTCATTGTTTTAATATTGAAATTAATTTTGATGACTGTTGTCATAGGAGCACTACCTGCCTTTCATCATGCGTAGTAAGGTGAAACTGGTTCTCCAGGGAGACCATCATCAGCAATCGCTCATCAGTTTTGTGGACGAGGCCATGAAGATCCCTGAACACAAGTCTTTACTAGAGGTAATAAGCTGCTACTCTTGTACTCACACTTGAACTGGGACTGAGCCGTTGTGTTTGATTGACTACCATTGTAAAGGGCTGCTACTATTGACCACCATTACTTTGGACTATAATATTGTATGGTTGACAGTACCATTACTTTGGACTATAATATTGTATGGTTGACAGTACCATTACTTTGGACTATAATATTGTATGGTTGACAGTACCATTACTTTGGACTATAATATTGTATGGTTGACA